ATAGCTCTCCGGAGAAGACAGTGGAGACACCAAAGACCCCGATATCCTCAAAACTTTGTGCAAGAAAAAACCCAGGCCCCCCGAAATTCTACGGTGATAGGCGGTTTATCGACCAAGTGACACTCGGAACGGAGACCATTAGTGCAGTAGACTCCGATGAAGAACCGCTAATTACGTTTTCCGGCGCAAAGGGTCCACAACATAATTCAACGTACTGTATCTTACACCCATTGATGAGATCCCACGTCATACGACCTTGGTTGCTGAAACCACACAAGATCAACTCTCAACACCCTCCTCTCAGGCGACAAGGACCGCATGGGTATCGCCACCATTGGTAGAAGTTACCAGTAATACCCAGGATGATGACGGCAGTGACATATCCTCGGGCATTGACACCGATGTAAGAAGAGAGGCAGATAACTTCCATGCTAGATACAACACTACGGTCCTAAACTCTGAGAACTGTTGAACTATGGTAACATGATTTGTTACGTATTTGCTTTAGCTTTTATCCATTGGATAACCCAAAACTTTTTTTTAACCTAGTTAGTGAGTTAGTTAGTTTGCTTTAATTGTACAAATGCTAGATAACCCCAGTTGTACATATCATTTGGTACATTCGGTGTTGATATCTGTGTAAACCTGTAAGTAGCCTGTATATATTACCATATAATCACCTCCATTGTAATTTGTACTCTCTGTAAAAATCCATTGGTGCTAAACGTGGTTACTTTTTGTTTCTTCTTTGGCCCTAGTAGAGCGAGGGGAGATGGAGTATATGTGTGATATTGGCTACATCGATGAGCGGGCAGATATTAATTTTTGTGCAGTGGGGAATGTTGTGATTCAGTATTTTTAGTATGGTATAACCTTGACCTCTATCATCTAATTACGGACCAGTCAATGTTAACTCTACGAAGTCCAGTGGACTTCGGATCACTAGTTGCTCTTTTTAGACTACAGTCAGATTTAATTCAACCAATACTTTTATTCTCTTTTAACCTTAGTTAGATACAATAGTTACCAGTGGTACATCTTAACTCTTTATTATTAACCTAGACTGTTAAACAACGAACCTAAGTCAGAATGAAAGATAACTTATAAACTAAGAAAATTTGGTTTAATCCCTAACTCACCGTGATATCCTGGGCTTGTTTGCCGTGAAAAGCCTGTCAGTGTAATGCATCTGGTGGCCACATAGTGAAAACTTGGTGGCCGCCGATGGGTAGTTTACCCTTGTCTTCTTGCGCAAGTTTACCCTTGTCTGCTTGCTGTCGAGATGTTCAAGTGCACGGTGAAAAATGCATTAAATGTGTCCAAGCAGGTAGCAAATTAAAACCTCTGAGCAGGTTTCAATTTGCTACCTGCTTGGACACATTTAATGCATTTTTCACCGTGCACTTGAACATCTCGACGAATATGCGGCCACCAGATGTATTATTTAGCCAGCGTAAGTTTTTAAGCTACGGTTTGTAGTGATTTTCTAGCATAAGGTGTCTTCTTTTTATCCTTCGTCGATGGCTTTTGTAAGTTTTAGGGTTAATTCTTTTTTTTTGTGAAAGAGAACATGACTCTTGTGCCGAAGATTTCCGGCATATAAAGTGGGAAAAGTTTATAGTTTACTGATTTAGGGCTTTGTGAATGACCCATGGTTGTTTCGAAGTTCTGTCTGCGAGTGGCGGATTTTTTTTGATTTGATCGGACATTGTGTATTTTATAGCAAAACTTGATGAGAAATTAAAGGTTTTGCTTCTCCAATCAGAGTGAATAGTTTCAAATCGTCCGACTCTACTTGTTGATTCAATTCTCTGGCCGTGAAAATCTAGGCTTTAGTTTTCCAAAACCTGAACAGTGACTCGGTGAAACTCGGTGAAATTTTTTAAATGTTTTACGGGTTTTGTCGATTTTTGTTTACATAAATAAATGACGATTCCTTTTTTTACCCGGTAAATGTTCTACAGTAAAATTGTATGGTAAAAATTTATAAGCCCACCAGATAAGACTAAGACAAGAAGGTGCTGTTTTGGCGTGTTTATCGTCTCTTAGAGCCCATATTAGAGCTTCATGATCTGTATGGATTGAAAATTATTGGCCAAGTAGATAATTCTTAAAATGATCCAATGCTCAAACAAATTCCCACAATTCAAATTTGTTCGTTATGTAAAAGGCGACGTTCAAACATCTACTAGCAAATGCTAATGTCTTCCAATTGCCCCCATGGTGTTGTTTTTTATTGAAGCTCCTAAGCCTAGGTATGAATCATCACAGTTCAAAATTGTTTCCAGTTTGTTCTACCGTGCTACGAATTTTTTTCTTAATTTTTTTTTCAAAAACAAAATTAACTGGTTTGCTTTTAGCCAGTTCAATTGTTCATTCTTCTGCAAAAATTCAAGGAAGGGTTTAGATAAGGAAGCTAAGTTTGGTATGAATTTGTCACTCTGATTGATTGAACCTATCAGCATTTTCAGATCCCTTATACAAATGGTTATTCTAGCTTTTGAATCGCGTCAGATTTGTGAATCAAGAGGGTAACTCCCTTAGCATAGATTTTAAATCCAAATTTCTCTATATTAGTGTTAAAAACTGGCATTTATCATATTTTATGGCTAAAGTGGGCTTGTCTTTTACACTATAGAACCCTGTTTTAAATCTATATGAGCGCGTTACAACTCCTCCCATTATTTTACAATTGCATTGATTGCTCGCTGATTTTTATAAAGTTAATTTACTGTACGTCTTATTTTTTGAAAATCTATCGGTGAAAAGTCAGAATTTATTTTTTCGTCAGGGCTGATTTTTTGCTATCATATCAATCAATCAGACAAGTTAGGCATTTGATACTGAAAACAAAATATTTGGGAGCTATTGTGATTGATCTGTCTCTTTTTGTGTAACGCGATTGGTGATATGAAACGCTCTCAAGCCCATCTAGATAGTTTTTCTTTATAACCTTTACAAAAAAGGTCAAAACATTGTTTTATTTGTAGAAGTTAGTGTATTTGAATCCGTTTTCTTTTGACATGAATCGGTTGTTCTTCAAAAAGATGTTTATTAAAAATTATTCGATCTATCAGTTCTAGATACTAAAATTTTGTTTTAGATATTTGTTCCATACTTACAATTTGAACTCACTTTGTTGAATTGTTTTACGAGTTTCAACTGCACAGATATCCGACTGGACCTTGACCTCAAGTTTATTGTTTTGCTGCTAGTTGTAGTTGCGAAAACATGATTCCTAGATATGGCAAGTTATCGTTTACTAGCCAAACTCTTTCTGTCTTTTCATTAATTTACAATTTCTGATTTCTCGTGTCCTATCCTTTTGATAGGATTCTCGCCACAACCTTTTCGATGATTATGATAGTGCTTCCTAATCCTTGGTAAGTCATCATAATAAACTCGTCCACGGCTTCAATTTTCAAGAACCTACTTCATATCTGGAATTCAAAGAATACTTTTTTTCATAAAAGATTCAGGACTGGCTTTTGGGATTTCTTTTCTGAATGGGTTAAAATTTTCAATTGTCACGCTCAATGTTTTCTTCTGCTCGTTTCCGTCGTGTGTAAAAGCTGTTCTGATTTTTTTTCTCAGCGATCTCTAGTAAAACTCACTTCGTTGTCACCATCCGCAGTTAAAACTGAAAAGTCGTCCAGGTGTGCTTCGATTTCGAAAATGCCTTGAGGGTTGTTCCGTTGGGATTGCTGGTCCGGAACATTCGGATTGGCTTCTATCACATTTATTTGGTTCCTAGCTGAACTTTCACAATACTTGGCAAAGTGTCCCTGACAGCCACAATTATTACAACTTGTGTCTCTCACTGGGCATGTGGTAGGATGCACTGTATTAAAACGCGTACCACACTTTTGGTGTTTTGAGTTTTCTGCAATGTTGAGTGTAGGTTTGCTTTTATTCTTGATATGGTTTTGGCACAATCACTAACCGAATTTTTCATTTTTTTAAAAGAAATTTCGTGAATCTTTGTCCCTTTTTCAGGCCAACACGTGTTCCGGGTTTAAGTACTCAATGCACAGTTTCTTCTGAGTTTCCGCGCTTTTCATGTTTGAAAGGAAAAATCTCTTACTAATTTCACTTCCTGACCTCCCATTTTATATACAATTTTTGCTAGTTCGAATAAAATTTTGTTAAACTTTTCAGAGATTTGTGATCTTCTTGCCTACACCCGAATAACTTGTACGGTTCGTATGTTAAATTTGTGGTTTAGTAAAAAATAGTCTTTAGAATTTCCCAGAAATTTGCAAAATTCATGTCTAAGATCCGTTAACCTGGACTTTTATGAGCGAAACAATCTCTCCTTTTTTTTAACCTAGGGCCAGGTGTTATTGTGATTCCTACTTTTTGTTATTGTGTCCCAACTGTAAGCCATTGTTTTTTGTGCTGACTTTGTACTTCCTTGTGCACAAGAATGGTTTGCTTATTTCTCTCTTTTCTAGAGGCCCAATGGTTTTGGTCCTTGGTCGCTTGCGGTGGTTCTGGAATTGGATAGATTTTTCTGTTTCTGACCGATGAATGGATAACTTTTGTCATAACAACTGAATCCTCTGCAATAATTGTTAGTTCAAACTTTTTGGAATTTTTTTGAAATTTTTGGAAATCTTTTTCTACAAATCTTGATGATTTTGTTTGACGATTTATTCCAAAAAATTGTAGTCCACAACATTCCGACTAAAATCGGAAAACAAGATTAACCTAGACATCTAAACAACAAATTTAAGACAGAAGGGACGATAACTTTCAAACAAAGGATAGTTTGAAAGAAGTTTGGGTTTAAAAGGGGTAATTTCCCAACTACACTGACAATAGTTTAAAGTACAATGTTAAAATTGAATTAAGAGTTACAGTAAAATTAGGAACAGTGACTGAAATCTTTCAGATCCAAAAGTCGTTGCGCTTCTGGCAGGTATGTCAAAGTGACTTCAAAACATAAATGAGATTCAAAATTAATTTCATACAGTTCACAGATGTGATTTTCCTTCTAGCTTTACGTCAGTTGGGATCTACGTGGTGATGTACAACGAGATCCTGGTGACCACCTGCAAACTCATTCTCATCTTCTTTGCCCTCCTGATCGGATTTGCAGTCGGATTTCTCGTGTTTTTCGGGTATAGTTATCACTAAAACTAACTCTATATTAATTCTCAGTTCTCTTGCACTGTCGGTTAAACTAAGAATCGCACTCTTTTTAGTATTCCGGTATTGTTTCCAGCCTATTGAAAAATACAACCAAAATGGATGTACTTCTTAAGTAAGTATCAGCAGCAGAAATATTTAGCACGAATGGCAAATTGCTACATGAGTAGCGTAATGTTCCTATCAAAGGTATCTCAGCTCATTGAAAAGTTTGAACACTAATGGCAGCAAAATGAATATAACGAGTAATAGTTTTGTTTTAAGAGGAGATTCCTTTATTTATTTTGTTCGATATAAAAGTTCATAATAGGAGACGATGTGTCATTTAGCGTTATGAAGACACTTATGCAGGTCGTGTTGGTAATTTTTTTTGTTTTTTTTTCAGGAAAAGTTTTAAAAGTTATTAACGCCAAATTTCTAATATGTTTATTCACTGCTGCAGAGGTTTGGAGTACACTTCAGTGGAGGAGCTGCAGAACTTCTCGTTCGCCTCCTTCCCCTCCGCCCTGGCCAAAGTGTTCTCCATGATGCTAGGCGAGATCGACATGACTGTCACTTTCATCAGGTAAGAGGCCATCATCTGATAATTTCCATGGGTCAGTCATGTGAAACAGAAATAGATGAGAAAAAAAGCATATACATGTGAAAAAACAATAAAAACACAAGAAAAAAAATTATAATTAAATATTTCGATGATGATCTTGATTCGATTGCAAAGCACTCTGAGCATAAATCGTTTAGAAATTACCAAGTTTAGATACCATTTCAAAAGAAAATATTTGAAATTGAGTTTTTTTAGAAACTACGAGGCGGGAATTCTGACCTGGTGTGACCTCTGTTTCGTGGTCTCATTCATCCTCCTAGTCTGCATACTCTTCATCAATCTCACGGTAATTATTCTAACTAATTAGCTTAACTTGTTATAATTTCATAATTACCTGATGATCATTAAGGGCGGTAACTTTCAATTATATTCTGTCTCTAGATTGGTCTGGCGGTGGGAGATATTGCACAACTGAAAACACACTCCAAGGTCAAGGGCCTTCAGATGACGGTGAGTCATCATTCACTGGGACATCAAATGAAGACATCAAAAAGAAATTTTTTTTCGTTCTGTTCTTTCAACTACGTGCTAAAATTTCATTAATCATGCAAGCCAGGGGCGAATTTAGAGAGGGAGGGGCGATGCGTGGGATAAGGGGACAGCAAGGATTGCGAGGGAATTGATCTCTTTTTCAACCAAAGGGTCTCCCTTTGGTAATATTATTGTACGACCTTGATTTTTGTTCAACGAAGATCATTAAATTTGGGCAAAAGGGGAGAAGGCCAGCGGCGCAAAAAGTTTTTAAAATCAAAAATTTCCTTCGTTGTGTTTTGGGAGAGTATTTCGAGGCCAAACTGTGTGTTCATAAGACGAATGTTTGGTTCAGTGAGTCAAAATAGGACGTTTTTAAACATATCAAAATTTCTTAGCGGAACCCGCTTGCCAAATTGTTGCTTATATGTAACGAATACTTGTAACGTATACATTTTACTTTGCACATTTTTTGAGTTGCCGATCAATTTAAGTGCGGCAATCAAAAATTAAACAGCGATCGTTTACAATATTAAGTGAAACTTTAGGATTTTGAGCGAAAAAATTTAGCAATTTAGACGTTTTGGCGCCAAAGTAATTGTTTAATTTGCAGTTACAGACATTTTGACGTCAAAATTGGAGTGATTTTCTTTGATAATTAGCGTCAGTAAATTCCCGCTCTTTAGAAAATGCGTGTAAATTAATCTGAAATTTTCCAGCCTTTTTCGGCACTGTTGTACTTCGGCACTGTTGAACGCCCCCGTACAAAATAATAGATTTCGCTCCTTGTAACAAATCAATTATGGCAAATAAGCTTCTTTCAACCAATTCGGAACGATTTCTAAGACGGATTAACTCTCCGCTTACGCGTTAATAGCGCGAAATATATCGCGCGTTAATTGTCCCAAATTGGTCAAAATGGTCAAAATGGCACTCTTTAAACCCTCATAACTTTCCGAAAAATGATCACAGGTTGAATATCTTTTCAAATGTAAGCTCAAGACAACAATACTTTTCGAATGATATAAAAAGAGTCCGTCAAAAATGGCTAGTTAAAAAGTCGAAATCTGTCTGAAGAAAAAAAACCCACCCCGAGCACAAATATTCCGTTACTTTCGTATCAAAAGTCGGAACAATAAATTCGTTTACGAATCAGGCAACTTCCAGAAACTATGTATTGTTCCGACTTTCGATACGAAAGTAACGGAATATTTGTGCTCGGGGTGGGTTTTTTTCTTCAGACAAATTTCGACTTTTTAACTAGCCATTTTTGACGGAATCTTTTTATATCATTCGAAAAGTGTTGTTGTCCTGAGCTCAAATTTGAAAAGATATTTCACCTGTGATCATTTTTCGTAGAGTTACGGGGGTTTAAAGATTGCCATTTTGGCCAATTCGGGACAATTAACGCGCGATATATTTCGCGCTATTAACGCGTAAGCGGAGAGTTAATCCGTCTTAGAAATCGTTCCAAATTGGTTAAAAGAAGCTTATTTGCCATAATTGATTTGTTACAAGGAGCGAAATCTATCCTTTTGTACTACAATGGCGTGTGGGGGGATGATTTTCATAAAAATTTCAAATATTAGAAAAAAAATTTTTTCTTTTTGTTTTATTTCAATGAATTTTTTTAATGTTATTACTGCTCCATAAACCTCAAAAGGCAGTCGGAACATTCAGGGCTTCGCCCTGATACGAGCAGTCTTGTTATATATGCACAATTTTGGTAGCGCCGAATCTCTCATTTTAGTTCCCTTTTTCGGTGTAGGTGTCGCTGTTCATGCAGCTGGAGGCACATATGAAGAGGTGGGGGTTGGAGAAGTTCACTTTCATCCCAATGAGTCATACCGTCTACCTGAACGACATCATCTGCAGCGGATCAGTGAGTGATCAGTTATTACAACAGAAACTAACTACCACAAACATAACATCAATGAAGAAGAAAAGCTTTTAGAAAATTTCAAGGGGTATTTCTGAAATAGAAAACCATTTAGAAAAGTTTAAGGATTGGCCAGGCTTTTCATCCGTAATGATTTGTACGATTTCATCGGTAACGCCGCTTTCAAAATTGAGAAAAGTTAAAGCATTTGCCAGCCAGAATTGGCTGTCCTAAAAATAACTCAGAGAAGAATGCATAGAAAACTTTGTCAACCAGAATTGGTGGTTAGGGTAGTCGATAACAAACGGTACCGAAAACTAATAGCGCAGAATGGTGCAAAATGAATGGAATTTAATAGACAACTTCGTCCCTATGGAACTTAGCAAGCAAAAATTTAGAAATTCTGTAAATCGAAAAAAAAAAACGAAAAAAGTTTGATTTAAAAAAAAAATTCTTGTTTTTTTTGCAAAAAAACTGGTCGGAACTTTCTGAGCTGATTTTACAGTAATCAAATACACATGCACTACTGTTCTGTATTGAATACTTGATAAATTTTTCTGTTTTTGTCAGAAGCGCAAGATGTTGGAGTCGTTGAAAGGGACGGATGAGGCAGAGAACATGAAACTACTCAAACAAATTCACTACGAGAATGAGAAAAACCACTGCAGGTGAGCTGACATTTTTGAAAGAAAGCAGCTAAAACAAAATACTACAGAAGAAAACATTGAATTTAAGAAATGAAGATCATCGGTAATGCTTTCAAATTAAAGTTTTTAGAGCAAGCCCAAACTTAATTGTAAGTTAAACTCATTTTTCTCTGTATATTTTTTATAGATTGTTGAACCCTTAATTATTGAACTATGAAGTTTTTTTTTTCAGAATCAAGTCCCTGAATGAGTCGATGCGGAAGGCGGAGGAATTGCTGGGACTGGTGGTGTCCCACTTGGAGGTCCAGAGTCCCTATGATAACCAGGACGAGGGACACCAGCTCCTCTGCACGGGAGCAGGCGGCAACCCAGCGGCCATGATGCAGGTATACTCGCGGACAAAGTCCCCATAGAACGGAATCCCCAACAGGAAAAAAACTCCAGCCCTCCCATGGGACAAAACACCCATTGTTTCCCCCGCTAAGACTCAACGTCGACCACGACTTTTGAAATACGACAACACGAATAAAGCATGTTTCAAACGCGATATAAGTTTTACTACAAAAATTAATCAAGAAAAAATATGCATGCAAAGCATACAAAACAATTTCTGTCTTAGCTAGCTTATTGCTTAGATATGTTTTGAGCAAAAAACCGGGTATGTTATAATTTTGCGCTTATTATTGCTTCTCGACATTGAATGTTGAATCAAAAATCATAAATTGAGAATTTTAGCCGAGAACATGCAGTATTTATAGTAAGAAATTGTAGTCAAAGTTTTAGCCAGCTGATTATTCGATATAAAAACCGGGATAGTTTGTTGCTATGCACGTAGCACAGAAAGTTCCGACCACAAAAATGTTCTGTGCGTTCAGCTATGAGCAGATCTGAACAAAGAGGTAGAAAATAAAAAACGGTTTTTATCAAAAATTTAATTGAAAAACAAAAAAAAACAAAAAAATTTCGTAAATTTTTTTAAATTTTTTTTGAAGTGCTGAAGGAAGCTTGATTAAAACTAAGCTTTCAAAAAAAGCAAGAGTAAAACGGTTTTTACGTCTTTTTGCCTAATATATTATATTTGCGTAAATAGGTATTTACGTCTTACTTGCGTATTATAAGCCTCCTCGCTCGCTCTGTTCGCTCGAAATTGCTTTCCTGGTTCGAAACCAAAAATATAACCCGATTTCTCTCTACACTGCTGACGTTTAATTTTTTTAAAAAAAGTTTTAAATAGAACCTAATTATTTGAATCCGATTGCAAGGGCTTTACTATGATATATAATTTTTGACCAAAACTTCCAATAATAATCATAATAATCATATTAGTTAAACTAAACCCGCAAGGCGGGGATTAGTTGCTCTTAGTCATTGATAACAAAGTTAGTAAAATAAACTTTAAAACCATTACTCATGATAAATCGAGTTTTTAAATGTTTTTACTTTGTCAACCAATAACAGGTTCAAATTCTTTCACAGATTAAAGGTTCTTGAAAAGGATCATATCCAGGCCAATTGTTCGATCTCGCGACGGTTTGGAATTTCTGAAACACGGTAAAAAAAATTTCACAAAGTTTGCTCCGTGTTATCATTGGCATTCTCAAAAACATTGTTTATTCGCTTATTTGTAGTACTTGATTTTGCGTGGAAAACAAAAAGTAGAAAAACTAAAACACACCCGAATGAAAAGTGGTCGGAAAAAAAATAAATTTAATAAATAACAAAGGTTTCAATAACTAATAGATCGTCACTTTTTCAGGTCATGAACACCTGTGAGGATGGGAAGGACGGAGAAAGGGAGGGGGAGGACCAGGGAAACGTCAAAGTCAGTTTCCAGAACATGGACAACGGCAACACCTGAATAAAAAACAGCTCAGCCCTGAAACGAAGTTAAACGAGATTTATGAACTGTCGAGATATTTACTCTAGCTTCTATGATGACTGAGATTAGTTTTCGTTTGAATCTATATCAATCAACTTATTCCAAAAATGTAGTCTTTTGCGTGTTTTATCATTTTCTCCCTGAATAGTCAAATTTACCCTTCAGATGTTTTTATGGACGACCAGTTAGGGTGACGTTGATTTTACAACTGATTTTACAGGGCACGTTGATTTTACAACTGATCGACCAACTAGTTACTTGAGTTATATTTGGCATAACTGATCTTACGTGAGTTAGTGCAGAACTTCTTGCAACATTCTGTCGTCACAATTAAAAAAGTAGATAGTTATGGTCTGCACGTAGCAGATAATGCTCAGCCACAGCTATGCAAAAAAGCAGAAATAACTATTTTAAGTTTAAGTTTTCGGCACTCTTGAGTTGTTTATAAAATTCCAATGAACCGGAATGTGGTGTGATAACGTTCACTCATGATTTCCGCCAAAGTCAGAAAGGAACAAGACTCAAGTGAAAAAAAACTTCTAGTTGATGTGCTAATAGAAAAAAAAATTCCAACCAAAATTGTTTTTTGCCAAAAAGAATCAGCAAAAACGAGGGAAATTCAAAATTCGAGTTTTTCAAAATCATCAGCAAAAAATACAAAATAGTGCTTTTTAAGGTGTGTATGGAGGAGCAAAAACTAATTATCCTCAAAGCTTTATCAAGAAATTGTGTTTTGATGTCCCAGATGGAGCCACTTGCCGACGCCCGTGAAGAATTAAGTCAGTTAATCAACTATTCGCTGTTTATTTTTTGTTCAATTTTTGCAGAACAACTTTTCAACAATTTCCATCCCCTGCAGGTTATTTTACAACTGATTTTACAGGGCACGTTGATTTTACAACTGATCGACCAACTAGTTACCTGAGTTTTATTTGGCATAACTGATCTTACGTGAGTTAGTGCAGAACTTCTTGCAACATTCTGTGGAAACAATTAAAAAAGTAGATAGTTATGGTCTGCACGTAGCAGATAATGCTCAGCCACAGCTATGCAAAAAAGCAAAAATAACTACTTTAAGTTTAAGTTTTCGGCACTCTTGGAGTTTTTGCTGCGGTAATTTTTAAGATTTTCTAAAAATAGGAATAAAAATAATAGTCTGCTACTGTTTTGATTTCATTTGATTGATATTTTTTGGCTCCAAATGTATACCAAAAATGCACGTACGACTAAGCAACACTGCTTGGATCAAAAAGGAAACACATATGAAATCAAGATTTTAAAAAAATCCACCTTGCAGGAGTAAATCAAAACACTACGAGTAGGAGAAATGCAGGGGAAGTTGCAAGAGTAAATAAAAATTTTGTGTTAAAATAGCAACTGCAATAAAAATTGCGTTTAAAACAATTCTAAGATGAGGAAACAACTCAGAATTTTTTTGATACGGATCATTTTTCGTTTGAAATAAAAACAGATCCTGGCCAGATTCGAATCCACGACCTTTACCGTTCCATGCGTATTGGTTTCCTCCAGACAAAGTGAGCGGGAGACGCTAAGAAATTTAAATTAGATGTTAACCTATATATTAAATGATTTAAGTGATACTGATTCCAATTTGATGCAATTTGCTATTTGCAAGCGTAATGACAAGAACTTTATTTGCTTATTTTACTCTCTCCAAATTAGACTGAACAGCAAAATTTTCAAAACAATTTTTCTTGACTGTGCGAACACTTAACGTGATCTTTTTAAGGTAATTCAAACCACGACTGGAAAGGCTTAGATATGATATATCACTCGACACTTTTTTTTATTTGTTTTTGTGATATCTAATTTTGATGATTGTTTGTGACACTTTTGTTTCACACTGGAGATAAAAAAATAAAACACACTGGAGGACAAATTTCTCCTCCAATTGCAGCGGTCGAAACAAACACAGCTATTTTTTGTTGTAATAATTATTGCGAATTTTTGCATTTAGCAAATTTCAAACTTTGGACTTTTTTGAGATATCCAATATTGGGCTGACTGACCTCAAAGTGCCTTCGGCGCCAGTCTATAATAATTTGGATTGGGGAGCGCGCGCCAAAAAAATGCGATTTTTTGGTCGAAAATTTCCACAATGTTCCTAAAAACGCTTCTGTTGGCCTTTTTCAAAAATCCACCACTGCTCCGAACTTTGGAAAAAATGAACACTTAGTAGCCTGAATAGCGTAATAAACTAAATAAATAGTTTCAAGCACGATTTAATTTTTCTACTCTAAATAATGATGCTGCGAGTATGACATTTCTCAAAGACTGGAGTTGAAAAGCACCTTATACCACTCAAAAACAATTCTATTGCTTTTTTTATTGCAGCCCGAACTCAGCAAGAGACGATATTTAATCTGAAGAATTTTTTTTGAAAATTGAAATCTTGAGGCCGTAATATTTTATTACACTTGTATGTTCAATTCTGGTTTTATATGAAGATTAAATGAATGTTGCTTTTTAATAATCTTTTAAACGCTGAACCGACTTCAAAAAAATCTACATAATTTTTCTGTGTCAGCTTCAATACCTAAACACCTTTTCTTAATACTTTATTATTCAAATTAAAGAAATTAAATCTAGATAGATTTTTTTTGTATAGAGCGAATTAATCTTGAACTGATTTCTTTTTTAATCTAAGAAGCAACTGCAGAAAAACACATGAAGTTCGGGTATTCTGGCATTGCCAATGTCACTTTGTTAGTCCTATAAGGCTCAAACGAAGACTTCGGTCTGAACTTTGAACTCGTTCTGCCCTTGATAATCTCTGGAACTGGTTTCCTTTCATCTTCATCGTCCACATTTTGGACTCCGACTGTTTTGGTCCAATCAAAAGTGGCTCCCGGACTCCATTTAAGAGCCACAGAAGAGTCTAAAGATTTCGAAACTGATCCAGAACCGTCTGATTTTGACGGCTTAGATCTAAACGGCGACTCGAAATGAGGCCAATCGCTTTCCATTAGTTGTTGATTTCTCGGTTTTCCGAACAGATGTCGATCGACGTACGAAGGCGCCACGCTTCGGTACAGCGACCGTCGGCATCCGGAAACGACTGTTGGCCTCGGCATTCCGAGAGTTCCGGGATTCGCCTCTCGTTCTTCGTATGACTTCAGCGTTCGCGCTGTTTGGACTCTTCGGTCGGTCAAAACTTGGCTCGAGTGAGGAGCGATGTCAACCTTTTTATGCGGCGAATGTCGAATGTTCGATTTGTTGCTTTTTGAAAGGTCAAGTGCGAAAGACTCTGACAACGGCCATGACCTTTGGCGTTCCGAAACAGTGCTTAGAGTTTTCCAGTTTTTCTGAAGTTCCAGCAAAAAATAACTATCGTCTTCGACTGCTAAACTGATTCCAGCGTAGTACGCCAGAAATTCCTCTTCGGAAATTTTTCCATCGCCTTTTCCATTTTGGTCTGATTCAAAATCAGAAATGAATTGATCGATACAATCTTCTTTTGACATTTGGCCAGTAGCGAATTTCTCATTGGTTGAAAAATTGTACTTTTTCAGTAGATCAGATTTGTCGATGAACCCAGAATGATCGTAATCGATTTTCGAGAACAGTTTTTCGACTTCTTTTTTTCTGTTAAGCGGTAAAAACTGGGCGATGATTTTCTCATTGAACTCTTTGATTGAAATAAACCCACTCAAATCTTGATCTAATTCTACGAAAAGTTGTTTGATATCTTTTGAGGTCAGTTTTTCCAGGTATAGAGACTGAATTCCAGAAATGAATTCTTTTTCGTCTATTTTCCCGTCACCTGATTTATCTAGTTTGTGAAATAATGAAGCTAATTCTTTGAATCCTCTGGCACCAAATTTAGCCAAACAGAGCCATTGGAATTTTTCAACTAGGTTTAGAGAGTCGGGTTTCTTGTAAATTTGACTCATTTGGCTGCGGATTTTCTGGTCCAGTGCATGCTTTTTACGAGAAGTAAGAGCCATTTTGAATAATTTTTCGAGCGAGAAAAAATAAAAAAACTACGTTGATGCAGTAGTTGAACGGTTTCAAGCTCAAAATAGCACGTGCTTTGATTACTCAAACAGCTTCATTGAAAAATTATAAATATCTGTTTTTGAATTTTTATATGCACAACAAAAACAAGAAAAATAATGAGAGAACGTAATGAAGCTTTAAAAAGTCAGCAGGGAAATGGAGATAATGGATTTAAAGATTTGGCTCTTTTTCCTTCCCCCCCACCTCACACGAGCTTCAATATATTAGTGTAACGAGTGGTTTTACGAGGTTGAGTATGAAGACCAAATATGTTTGTCGCGGCTTTATTAGTCTGTATGTTAAGTTTCATAACAATCGGACAATGTCGTCAACAAATTTACATGTAAAAAAATTGCAGGTGGGGGGGGGGAAAAGGAAAAAGAGCCGAAGATTTTATTGAAAAGCGTCAAAAACATTTAAAACTATAGTTTGTCTCTTCTGCCGCAACCCCCCCCCCCCTAACAGTCGTTTTTTTTTCCTGCATTTTTGTACGTTATTAAATTTTAATAACAATGACAGGTGAGTTCATCAAACAAATACGAACACAGATTTTATCTTTATGTGCAAATTAGTAAAATTAATGGTTATACTCTGTAAAATTGATTTTTAATTTCGAGGGCAAAAGGGCAGAAGAGCTAAAGATTTCTGAGTATATCTGTCTGTATATTTATCTACCAAGGAGCGCGTGTTTTCATTCTGATGATGACTAAACGACGACAGTGAGGACGGATATCTGCTGCATGATGGACTCATCTCTCAGACAGATGTCCTTGAACCCCCTCAAGGTCACAAAGCCCTCACGCTTAGTCTCGGAGGCCATGATGAATTTCTAAATCATATATGGTTAATGGGGGTACCAAAGGGTCTTTCTCAAAGGATCAGACAAAAGAACATTTTTCAAATGATCGGTTCGACGCCAATATATACTGATTTTGAGGGGGAGCACGCGCCAAAAAAGACCTTGTTATTAGTCAACGTTGAACAAAGGCCGATAAAATGTTTCAAAAACCACCTCCAACCGTCATGAAATTACTGCGAACGCCATGCTCTATGTCACCGATTTGGCAAACAATCTGGCATTAACTCAGTTCTAATTGATTTTTCACCAGTTGCAACAAGAGTTGATAAAACGATGGCTGTTAAATACTGAATTGACTGTATTCTAGTTCGCATAAATAAGAGAGTGAACTAGAGGTCAACGCATAACAGCTAGACAGTTCTAGGCTGATTGACAGGCTTAATTATAGTGTGAGAACTCTCAGAGATAAGTAGATAAAGAAATAGCAACTAGGATGATTGACAACTGAATATTGTAGCCCCTGACATTTCCGTATGGATGTAAAATTTAAATACATAGTAATTTAAATTTAATATAATAATTAATAACATTCCACCTGCCGCCTCAACTAACACAATACAACAAACTTGAGTTTTAGGCTTATGGCCATCCCTCTCCCTGGAAAACGAGTTTTAAATGAGTTTTAAATAAGGTTCACTTTCCTTCTCCCCCTGGATGTTTTCCTTTTTGTTCAGCCCCTTGGATATTTTCGATCATGACTCCTCCCATTTTATCTACTGGCTTTCTTCTTCTGGTACTCCTTCTGGTTCCCGAGCTTTCACTTTGACTGCCAGATTCGACATCTTCTTCTTGGCCACTACTCATAAGGCACTCTCTCGCAACTAACGCCGGTCGGTCTTGGCTCCCCTTTCCTCGTTTCTCTTGACCCCCTTTTCCTCGCTTCGCTTTCGTCACTCTAGATTTTGCTTTTGCTCCCGTTCCATGTTCTGCTTCTGCTGTACTGCCGCTTGGGCCTTGTCCCGCCGCAATCGCTCTTCGTGTCTCGCTAACACTTCTATTGGTAATCGTGCGGAGATAATATTTAGTGGCTGGTAATCTTCACTATCCGAACTGTCAGACTGGAAGGTGGCTACCGATACTTTTTGCATAGCCTTTGGCCTCTTTGATTTCGGGCTCTCGACTCCCCTTTCTTTGCGCTCGATAACATCTCCTTGAGCGTAGCCGGCTTCCGTTTCTTGGGAAGTATGGGTTTTGGCTTTTCTGCCACTGCACTTTTTCTAAGAACAGATCCGTTTTTTAGCTTGATAGTATGTTCGGATTCAAAGATAGCATTAGATTTTAAGAGTTTATACCGATTTAGGGTCTTGCTGGTTGTACACTGATACAGGTCGCGTGCGACTCCACTACCTTGGATGTTAGGGCCAGTGTCTTTACTCCCTTGGATTTTCGGGGCAACTCCCGATACCTCCCCTGGACACGTGTCCATTTGCTGGTCGCTATCAAGCATGATAGGGGCCCTTTTTAAAGCTGGAGCGTATGTCAGATCGGACCTTTCCTCCCAATTCGAGTGCTGAGGGAATGAAATTTTACTCATCTCAGGATCATTTTCGTCTAAACACAAACATTTTTGTTTTAAGACGTTCTTCCAATTCAAATTTTTCAAACTTGGTTTTTTCGTAAGATTGCGTAAAACGGTGTTAGCCTCCCGGCCGTGGTGGGCTTCAAAAGGTGTTAATTTAGTAGTTGCATTTTTGGAAAATCGTAGCGCGCCTAGCGCTTTATCGACCATAGATTCTACAGACTTATGCTCTTTTTCAGTCGCATAGGTTAGGACAAAATTCTTCAAACTCCCTATTGTCCTTTCAACGGACCCCGTGCCTCGATGATCGTTCACTGGTGAGTACATTAGCTCGATGCCTTCGCTGTTACAGAAGCTTTTAAACTTATTAGATGTAAAACATGATCCCTGATCAACGTGTATTTTCCGGGGTACTCCATGTTGAGTTATGTATTTATCGAGAAATTTTAAGACTTTATCTGACGTGTTAGTGGTAGTAACCATTGCTGATGGCCACCTTGAGAAACGGTCCGTAGCAACCAAGACATATTTCTTACTCTCGTTCAAGTAGTTTATTGGCCCCCAGAAATCCAATTGTATACATTCATTGGGTTCCCTTGGTTCAGGGACCTTCCCCATGTCTCCCTTGGGTAATAACGATTTTAGATTCTTACCCGCTTCCGTGCATTGCTGACAGTACGTGGCCTTTGCTGCCAAACTACGGTACATGTAGGGATACCAGACGTCACGCGCTGCTTCATACATGTTCCTTTTACCGTGATGGTAATAATGTATCCGCGACTCAATTGGGACTTGTAATGGCAAAGGAATGACCAGCCGTCCATCTACTAGCCACACACAATCGTCCCGCAATGACAAATCGTTTGCGTATTGGGCCCAGTACTTCCCAATCTTCAGGAGTTCTTCTTTCAAGTTAATCTTCTTCTCCAACGCTTCTTTTACTCGTACTAAGTTCACATCCGCCGGTATGTTTGAGGCAATAAATTCTAAATTAAATAATTCTGGTAACGCTTGGGATTTCTTGATAACCTTGCAATCCCGGGGAATTATAGACATAACTTGCTGATTTGGGTTAACGGTCGGAAAAAGCTCGCCCGGGAATTTCGAAGGTATAGAAAGTACTGTATTAATTTTTGAATCCCGTGTATTTTTAGTAATGGCAACAATTTCAGGGTTAATGACAGTTATTTCATCGCTACTCAATAAGTTTTCATCTTGTCTAAGCGGAGAGTTGATTTGAGAGTGTAGTCTATTCGGAGGGTTAGTTTGGGAATCGATTTCAATATTTTCAATTTCAAATACTGGGAAAGAACAATTCGAATCACTATCCATTTTGTTTGAATTATTTGATATAGGCCAATTTAACCGTCTTCCAAGGGAACAATATATAGAACACACTGAATGTCCCTTGGATTTCTTTGATTTACGCGTTATGCAAATTGATCGTTTCCTATTGGTCGGTGTCTTCACGTATGACTTTCCGCCCTCAACCGTCGCTGTTTGTAAGCATGTTTTCCGTTCTCGCTTCTGATTAGATGAAAACTGTCTAGACTGTTTAGAACCAGTTCCTTTAATATCCTGATGATTTCGTTCACCAAGGGATTTTAAATCATCTGTGAAACCAAGGGTTTTTCTAATTGGAACGATTTTTGCCACGGTGAACAAATTATCATATTGACTTATCGGTTTAGGGGGTTCGCTAGGATGCCTTGACAAGTAATCTGCTAATCCGATCTTGGCGCCCGGTTTGTGTTCTATTATAAAGTCAAAAGGAATCAGTCTGTCTAGCCAACGTGTCAGTCGTGAAAAGAGAGTTTTGTTTTTCTTGTTATTCCCGTTAAGTAATGAAATCAGGGCCTTATGATCCGTGATAACTGTAAAAGATCTTCCTAAAATGTAGTTTCTGAAATATTCGGCCCCCCGTACCACCGCCAGCATTTCAAGCTCGTTAGTGGAATATTTCTTTCCGGCTGGGTTTAAGAATCGTGATGCAAAAGAGATAGGGCGCCACCCTTCTGTACCCAATTGCTCTAAAACCGCTCCAAGACCATTATGGCTTGCATCGCAGACAACTCTAATGTCTTTATGAATATCAAAATGTTTTAATTCAACTATGTTTGCGACCCCCAATTTAATGTTTTGAAAGGCATTTTCACATTCCGCGGTCCAGTTATATTCATTTCTCTTGCTGAGAAGTGGCCTTAATGGAGCTGACATCTCCGCTATCGCTGGTAAATATTTATGCAAGCTGTGAATTAAGCCTATAAATGATTTTAATTGAGTGACTGTTTTAGGAGCGTTTAATGCGTCTATCGGCGATGTTTTGCGTTTAAGCGGCGTAACCCCCGTTTCGGTTATACGATGGCCGAGCCACTCGCATTCTCTTTTCGCAAACTCGCATTTTGGTAATTTCAGTGATATGTTTTCGCGATTTAGTTTCCTGAGGATCTTTTCAACCAAGGAGATGTGTTCTACTTCCGTTCCCTTGGTTGTAACCAAAATATCATCAATAAACGCGTTCGCTTGTGGGAATTTGTTCAAAATTGAGTCTATTACTCGTTGAAACTCTGCCGGCATGGAAGTTGGCCCGTATAACCCTGTCCGGAATCGGTATGTTCCCGTTGACCGTCCGCCCACCAGAGAAAAGTTACAGTGCACGCTTGTTTCTTCACTAAGTGGTAGTTGCCCATACGCGTACGTTAGATCCATCGTAGTAAAATACACCTCCCCTTGTTTTTTCTCGGAAATGAGTTGTCCTATTGTATCTACAAGTTCTTCTATATTTGTTATTTGGTATTTGTTTTTATGAACTTGTTTATTAAGCTCTCGAGATTCCAATGTTTTCTTCACGGACCCGTCTTTTTTTACGGTGATGACGATCGGAGAAACAAAATATCGATCCGAACAATCTTTCAACTTTTCTATATGTCCCTGGGTTAATAGCTTATCAATTTCCTTGTCCACCTTTTCTTGGAGCGTTACCGGCACTCTCCGTCCTTTCTGCTGCACTGGTACAAGATTTTTGAAAAATTCCGCTTGAACCTTGTAGTTCCTAATTTTTCCAACTCTAGTAAAAAGTTTTGGGAATAGCTTACTGAAGTATAATTGCCATGGGTCCATCTGCTCATCCTCCGATTCGTTGTGCGCTTCCTCACATGAATTGTCTTCCGTCCCCTGGATGTTCACTACTTCCCTCCTTGGATCTGCTTGCATCAACTGGAGTCCGAGTTTTCCCATCAAATCACGTCCCACGATGGATGGTCTGGTCCCCCCAATGACTCGGACTTCTGCTTTCGTCTTCCAGCCGTTTGATGCTAACTCGAGTTCCATTCTGCCCAACATCTTGATCCGATTGTTGCTGTAATCCCGGAATTCGTCATCGTCAGCGTCATCTTGTTTTAAGTTAATTCCCACTCTTCCCACTGTTCTCCTCAAATCGTCTAATGTTAAGATGGATATCGGCGATCCACTGTCGATCCTGATGTTCATCGGGTGTCCATTGATATATATTTTGAGTTTAGGTCCGGCAACTTTCAATAATGTTTCTTTCTTCCGTCTGATTGCCATAACCATGTAGTCGTCGGAACTTTCTGATGACCAGCTGTGGTGTTCTCGTTTAAAGAAACTTACTGAATTCGTTGCAACTTGGGGCCCCACGTCATCCGAGGGGGTATCTTCTTCCTCGAATAGCTCATCCCCTTAGATTAGTCCAACCGGTTGCCCCCCCCCCTTGACTGTCGTTTTCCCCGGCAAGTCCTCTCAAAATGCCCGACCTTTTTGCAAAAGTTGCATGTGACGGCTCTTGCTGGGCATCGTTGTCGGTGTTCTGGTGTGAAGTTCGGTTGATCGCAATTGTAACATCTTCGTTCTTGCATTCGTTCTTGTGTTCGACCTCCTCCACGATTTGAGTATTGGCCCCGTCCCCTTGGCATTCCTCGTCCCCTGGATCCACGAATATTGCTGATTGGTTCCGTTTTGATCTGCAGGGAACCCCCTGGCGATGGATAAGCCGCTCTCGTGGAACCGGATGCGACGCCCTTGTAAGTCTTTGCGTACTTGTCTCCTCTTTCATACGACATCGCGATTCTCAATGCTTCCTCCGGGGTCTTAGTTTCCCGACACAGCCCGTTCTGCGCGTCCCTGTTGCTCAGATTGAATATAAATATGTTCCTCACCATTTTCCGCTCCTATGTGCCCAAATTGCATCTTGCCGCCATTCCGCTAAGTTCTGCATAGAACGATTCTAAGCTTTCCCCCTCCTTTTGTTTCCTCGATAACATCTGGTACATCTCGTACGTTTCATTTCACTCTTTCTGGAAAAGAGCTACACAGGTATTCAAAAAACGTGGGTATCGTATTGTTTCCATATTTAAATGTGGATTCTGATTATGCAAGGCTCTCTGTCCCTCGTGTCCCAGGCATAGGTACAGATTCGATATCAGTGTACGTTCACCTTCTTCCCTTGGTTTGCCACCAATGTCACCCAGGTCATTAATCTGTGCTTCAGTCAATGTCGATGCAAAGTAAAATTCCGACGAGACTAGTCCATGTTTCGCCACCATTGCCCAATGAATTCGTTGTTTCCAGTGTTCCCATAAGAGTTGTGGTTCCGCCTGATTCGGAGGCCAGAATGCCACAATTCCAAGGGGGTTTTCCCCCCTAAATCCACTGGCTGCGCCATAACAAGAGTTGATAAAACGATGGCTGTTAAATACTGAATTGACTGTATTCTAGTTCGCATAAATAAGAGAGTGAACTAGAGGTCAACGCATAACAGCTAGACAGTTCTAGGCTGATTGACAGGCAGGTACCAAACTCACATTTAATTATAGTGTGAGAACTCTCAGAGATAAGTAGATAAAGAAATAGCAACTAGGATGATTGACAACTGAATATTGTAGCCCCTGACAGTTGAAATGGGTAGAAAATTGAATCCCGATGGCAACAATTTGGCATCAACTATAAAATAAAGGATTTCTTATTGAGCTTCTAGCTTAGCTATGTATTGGGTTTCTAATTGGGTTTCTCTCATGTTTTTGTGAAATTTGCTTTGTTGCTTAAATTTGCAGTTCACAGTAATTGTTAATGCAGAATTGAAAGAATGTTCGATTAAAAACTTACCCTGTAGAGGTGTCCGAGATGGTCTGCGATGAGGTTCTCAGTGTCCAGAGCCTCGGTGGTCCTGCTACTACTCGACATACTGTAGAGCGCCCGGAGCACCAATAACAGTTCCTGAAAAAACAAAAATCATTGCGTACGTGCTATTGCAAGATTAAAGAGCAACAATAGAGTCCTCAATTTTTGCTGGAAACGCCCGGTTGGCAAGTTTTTAGACGGTTGCGGTTGTGCCAAAATACAACCTTGTGCAAAATCCGGTAACTAAACAGCTAAAACACATCATTCCAAAGCTTGAACTTTTGCAAATTTTTGCCGATTTAAAAAAAACGCTTTCTAATAGGAGTTCAACTGTGCGACTGCTGGTTCCACTTCACGCGCGAAAATTGCCGAGCTTCAAATGGTTCTACTATAACAACAAGGAAAAAGGCAAGCATTAGTTTAAAATCATTCGTAACACTGGCCCTTGTACCAGAACTAGATTTTGCAATCGACGTCCCTGCTAATAAAGTATTAGATTATTCTAACTAGTTTGTACAAGCTATGTACATTAAAACTAAAAGAAATTCCTTGAATTAAAATGTCTGTTCTAAAACTAACACAAACAGTGAGTGATCAACCGATGGTCGAATCATGCGGTAAGTTTACTGGTATCTAATCAATCCCGAAGGTCAAAAGAATAGAATACTAAAACAAATCACATAAACTGCTTTATGCAGTGAAAACTGCAAGGAAGGAGACATTGCCTGTATTAAGTTTGCTACGAACTAAAACTTGGTGCACCTTATCTTTTTTAGGGACTAAAGGGTCGAACCAAAGGGTCTACTTCTTTTGGAATATTTTTGGACACATTTTTTTCTGCCCAACTACAAAAGTGTTCCAAAAGCGACCATGATTTATACATTAACTTTGAGACAAAAGGGCATCCACTCTAACTTTGCATGTAAAAAAATTGAAAGCATAAATACCCATTTTGTATAAATTTTGCATTTTGAAACAATTGCGAGATATCGATTTTTCATTATTGTACTGATGCATCAACTGTGTTAACTTATTACTAACCTAGTGTCAAAACACATGTTATCAAAAAGACGTAAAGGTGCCGCAAAGGTGGCATCAATTTGCGACTTCGCTTGAAAAAAGATTAGTCGTACTATTACACTGCGATCGCAAAAACTCGCTAGTAGAAAAAAAACTAGTGTAAAAACTCGCAAGTGTAAAATTCCTACACACGCGGCTTGACATAGTTTAAAGAAGCAACGAACAACCTTAAATGGCGTTCAGAATTGACTATAGACTTAGTTTTTATTTACAGTAATCTCAAGCCATGGCGTCAAAACTGCAGGCCGATCTTGATTTTGAGAAAATTAACTATTTTTTCTCTGGTTTGCCTGAGATGATTCCACTGTTTCTATAGCTTCTGTTCTTGAAGGAGTGCAGCCTGTATTTAGACAACCGCGTATTCATAGTCGTCAGTATTTAGACAAATACTGTATGAACCAATCAGAATCGAGATAAGACATAAATAGTCCAAAATAAATAATAATTATTTATTAACTTCTTCCTTGTCTTGATTCTGATTGGTTAAAACAGTATTTGTCTAAATACTGACGTGTCTGAATACGCGGTTGTCTGAATACTGCTATGCAACCGTTCTTGAAGTACCTGTTCGTTGATGGTTCCGTCCTGGTCTATGTCGTACAGTTTGAAAATCCACTCCAACTTCTCCTCTGCCCCCCTCCTCGTCAGCACAGACAACACATGGATGAACTCCTGCAGAAAGATCAAAGTGCAAAAACGAAGTATTTATTATCATTATTTAAGATCATTACAAGTATTGGTACATATGTGGTAGTGGGGTCCCAAGAAACTAACCGGGTCCCCAATGTAAATAGAGTACCTCAAAATTGTTCAATTTAGTGCTATAATATCAACACGAAAGCAAAGCGGAGCCTCGCAACACTTGCGACGCAAAAAACCACATTGCGCTACGAAATAGTGAATGAAAAAAGACACAAGTCAAAAAATAATTACAAAAAATTATATTGGAAAAATTACTCGAAAAAACAACTTGACAGAAGTTGAAAAAATACAGCCACAAAAACTTCCTATTTCCATCGGATGAAGTTCAGAAACAGCCCTTAAAAACCTAAATTATTTACCGAGCGGCAACAAAGGCGACAAAAATTGGATCGAAACAAAACTTTTGTCAGAACCGAAAACAAAACAGTTGTCATAGAAAGTTTTACGCCCCGTCCAAACTGAAACACATAATCCCATACGGATACTATTCGCCCTCAAAATTACGCAAAATAAGTTAACTAAGTCGATAAACTATAAACTGAAACTGTTTGAATATTTAAAAAAAAAACGGGAAAAAATGAAAAAAAAAATCTAAATCAGACATGGTAAAATTACAAATTTGTCAAGTTTCATTTATAGTAAAAACTGTTGAAACTAAAACAAAACCCATGCTTTGAAAATGTGAACCAATCAAAAAACCCTGCCAGATTTTAAAAATATTCATTTAAGAAAAACGGAAAATGAACCGACAGAAACTAGGACAAAAACCACGAACTCAAAAGAAAGTTGAGACCTTTTTTGAAAAGATTATTACAACCAGAAACTTGAAACGATAATTACAACATGAAATTAAAATTTGAAGTCAAAAGATCCTCTAGAAGTGCGACAAAGTTGTTTACAGGAATAAAGTCTAGTACCCGATTGCAAAACCCTTGCTTATCGCAGGGGATTTTAAAGTATGGAATATGTTCGCGCATATGATGCAGGTTATCTACGCTGCTGACGCTTTTTCAGGGATTCGACCCCCTGCCGACCCAAAAGGTTCCCCTTTGTACAATTTTGAGATACCCATTTTTGGCTGACGTACCCTAAATTTTTTCTAAAGGCGCCTTTGGCGCCAACATATACTAATTTTGAAGGGGAAGGGCGCGCCATAAAAACGCAATTTTTTGTAGTCAAAATTTTCGAAAAACCCATTTTTTGGCCTGTTTTTACAAAGTTTCTCCTGCGGCGCAGAAAAATAGGTCACAATAGGGTAATTTGAATTTTGTGTGAGAGATTGGATTGGATTGTTTTGCTATTCAGACACAAATTCAGCGCTGAGTGGATGAAATTGAGAATTTGTTTTTCGTTTGTGCAGTATATAGATGGTTGTTTAATTTTCTTTGGTAGAAAGATATAAGCTGCGATTAAATCACTTCGAAAAAATAATTTTGAGGGAGAGTGTGCAACGAAAAACGCAATTTTTTGGCCAAAACTTTCCAAAAATGCCCCAAAATTGCCCTATTGGCCAGTTTTTTTTTCTTCCGCGAAGCAGAAAAGTGTGTAATAATAAGGCCTTTGTGATGATTTAAGAGGGCTCGAAAAATCAATTTGGTGGACCTAAAAAAAACTCACTCAAAATGTTCGAAAATTTTTGAAACTTTCTCTAATTGATTCGTAATTTATTACCATTTTATGTCGTGCCATGTGACTTGAAAATATTATATTATTAGACAAAGCTTAACATTTTGGTATTTTCGGCCAATAATTTTATCTGCTGGAAGTTTTAACTGAATTGCTTGATCATGCTGGTTAAATTTGATTGGCTAATAATAGCTCAAGATATAAAAATACCGATTTGGGGCCGTTTTGTGCATAAGACCCAATTTCAACCGACCTCGAAGATGACCTCTCCGTCGTTGTCGTGGTCGAGAGTGGCAAACACGAGCTGTGAGAACTCGGCTGAGTCTGAAACATCACACGAGATAAGTGAAACTTCTATTGAAGTTCTGGTCGGATATTAGCTTCTGACTCTTATGCAATTAGAACAAGTTAGCAAGCAACCCCGACGCATAAAAATCACTTGCCTCCAATCTGAAAAATTTGTCCAAATATTTCCTGCAGAGCTTCTTCCGTCAGCACACCATTTGAACACGACTAAAAAAAATTACATGAAATATACCTTTTTCATAATTTGGGCAAAAAAATGTGGGCAAAAAAAATCTAAGATATCGAGTCAAGTGTAGAAAACTGTTGAGAGTACATTTGAGTTTAACACGCAAGTGCGAGCAATTATTTGAGAAAAATAGCAAGGTGAGTTGAGGCCAGATTTCAGATCAATTTTCTTTCGAGTTTCTCCTGACAATTTCAGACAACCACAGTGTAGAGGGATAACTAAGATGATGAGTACCTGTTTGAAGCCCCTGTAGAGTGTCTTCATTTCATCCCTGGTGAACTCGGGGTGTTTTTTCAGCAGATGACTGAGACTGGGGGGTCTGCTGCGGGTGAACTGCATCTCCAACTCATCAAACTCCTCGCCTAGGGGGTGCACAAAAACACTATCCCTCGTTTCTTTTTTGTTATTACTTCTCCGTTTTAGGCGAATGGATTAACCACTAAATTAAACAAGACTGCTCGTATCAGGGCGAAGCCCTGAATGTTCCGACTGCCTTTTAAGGTTTATGGAGCAGTAATAACATTAAAAAATTGAATGTATAAAACAAAATGAAATTTTTTTTTCTAAAATTTGAATTTTTTATGAAATTCATCCCCCCACACGCCATATAAAGTACAAAAATATAGATTTCGCTCCTTGTATTGAATCGATTATGGCAAATAAGCTTCTTTCAACCAATTTTGAATGATTTCTAAGACGGATTAAATCTCCGCTTACGCGTTAATAGCGCGAAATATATCGCGCGTTAATTGTCCCTAATTGGTCAAAATGGCAACCTTTAAACCCTCATAACTTTACGAAAAATGATCACAGGTGAAATATCTTTTCAAATATAAGCTCAGGACAACAATACCTTTTGAATGATATAAAAAAATTCCGTCAAAAATGGCTAGTTAAAAAGTCGAAATTTGTCTGAAAAAAAAACCCACCCCGAGTACAAATATTCCGTTACTTTCGTATCGAAAGTCGGAAAAATTAGCTTATAATATAATAATAAATTGTTTCCAAACAATATCTAGTTGTTCCGACTTTCGATACGAAAGTAACGGAATATTTGTGCTCGGGGTGGGTTTTTTTTTTCTTCAGACAAAATTCGACTTTTTAACTAGCCATTTTTGACGGAACTTTTTTTATATCATTCAAAAGGTATTGTTGTCCTGAGCTTAAATTTGAAAAGATATTTCACCTGTGATCATTTTTCGTAAAGTTATGAGGGTTTAAAGATTGCCATTTTGGCCATTTTGACCAATTTGGGACAATTAACGCGCGATATAATTCGCGCTATTAACGAGTAAGCGGAGATTTAATCCGTCTTTTCAAACGTTCCAAATTGGTTGAACGAAGCTTATTTGCCATAATTAATTTGTTACACGGAACGAAATCTATCTTCTTGTACTTTATATGGCGTGTGGGGGGATAGTTTTCATAAAAAATTTCAAATTTTAGAAAAAAAAATTCATTTGATTTTATTTCATTTCATTTTTTTAATGTTATTACTGCTGCTCAATAAACCTTAAAAGGCAGTCAGAACATTCAGGGCTTCGCCCTGATACGAGCAATCTTGTTACAGATTTATTCCTAAAAACTTACAAATACAAATTGGAATCGTTTGGGAGAAAACCATTAAGCCAGCACGGCCTGTTTTCAGGTGTCTCGTTACTTCTTAATTATAACTTCTTAATTATAACTTCTCAATTATAAATTCTCAATTATAACTAATCCATCCTGCTGTCGGCAATGAAACAATAAACCTTAGCTGTTTGCGACAAGGCGAACGAACACTCCCCCGTCATTTATTAGCCAACCAGAAAGGTGGGATATTTGTTTCAGTATTTCTAGTTACCATACTTTCTCCTTTCGCACTACGCTTGTTGAAGAGTTCGCCTTTTGCTGCTATAAAAACGAAAGTAGTTTTTTGCCGACCAAAAGCTCAACATTTTCCACCGACGCGTTTGGCGTCAGTACTCACTAACTTTACGAAGAAGAACCGAGCAAATAATAACTTTTATTCCAGAGCATTAAAGAGGTGCCCCAAAAAGCTATCATTCTAAGAAAAAAATTTTAAAATAGAGCTTTTGAAAGAACCGTTTCCGTGTAAAACTCCTGCTTTGGGCCCGATCGTTTCCTCAAGAGCTCAACAAAAACAAACTAACTGGAAGGGAAGCCTCTCATTAAGTTGTAATAGTAACAGGGGCGGATTTAGGGGGGGGGGGGGGCGGTGGGGCGGACGCCTTTTTTAGGGATTTGACCCCCTGCCGACCCAAAGGGTCCCCCTCTGTACTATTTTGAGATATCCATATTTGGTGAACGGACCCTAAAATTTTTATAAAGGCGCCTTTGGCGCCAATATATACTAACTCTGAGGGGGGAGCGCGCCAAAAAAACGCAAAATTTCGGTCAACATTTTCCAAAAAGTGCCTAAAAACGCCTTTTTTGGCCTGTTTTTCTAATTTTTGCCTGCGGCGCACAAAGTTTTACCAGAACAGGGTCTTTTTAGTGCTATGAGAGAGCTCGGAAATTCACTTTGCTCGACCTAAAAAAAGGTCGACAAATATTTCGAAATTTTTTTGAAAATCCGCTCCCCTCGAGAAAATCCTAGATCCGCCCCTGAATAGTAAGTATTACTTTTAGGATGTCCCGCTTGGGTGCTTTATTCGGATTTTAGCATAGACTTTCGGACCACGAGTGATTTTCATTATTATTAGTATTATTATTATTATTCTCGCAGAATAAATTTGTTATTAAATGAACTTAGAACAAACTTTTGAAATTAACTCAACTTTGCAATTAAATTAAAGTATTGGGCACTTACATAATTTAAAGGTACTGCTGCTAGATTGATCTGAAACAAAGAAACAAATAGGCTGCTATTTTTCCAGTAATAATTTTGTAAGACAAATCGTAACTAATTAGAAATTGAAGAATGTCCAATTACACTTACCATATCCGGCTGAAATCAGCTTGTTGAACCAAAATCGGGCAAAATCCATCGGTGAATTCCTTAGGGACGGATAATTGGTTGTTTTCCTCAAATTAGTTCCTGGCTCATCTTCGTCACCCGAAATGTCGTCGAAAACGTCATCGTCGCCCAATTTTGACTTTTTAGGACATTTCGGGGTTTCTGATGAGTGTTTTTTGACGTTGGTTAATTCTTTAGGCGGACCAGAAGCTGAAGTTTTCATCGCTCTGATTTGGTTCATGCTTCCCTTTTTGTGAGTGTTCTTGCGAGAGCCTTTTCCGCCTTAAAATGAATGGAGTATTTATTTATTCAACAGGAAATTTGATCCTTTAATTTGCAACACACATCATTGAAAAGTTAACATCTATGGACATTTTTCGAGTAAACAGCACAACTATGATGCATATGCTGTTTTTTTCTCTCCGCTTCACCTGCGAGAAAAAATTTACTAATTAACGTCGATAGCGGAAATATATTTAAATTTTCCAAAAAAGTAAGCTGCCGAAAGTATTTTACGGTTTACTCTGGAAAAATTCATTAAGACTCTTTCATTGAACAATAACTCATTTGTAAAATCGATTATTTGTTACTATTTTGCTTCCTGTGTCAGTGTTTGTTCGTAAAAGGGATACAAACACAACCTACATTTTATAAAGCCATTTGGAAATAATTTATTCTCCGACAAAAAAAAAACAATAAAAAAATGAACGTTAAAAATTATCCTCCAGGTAAATTATGAAAAATATTGAACAAATTGAAAAAGCGTTCTATAGCAAATTATGCTTCAACTTTTAGCACTATTGCGCCCACATATCTCAGGAAAGAGCAGAAATCCAGGCGAAGGTGAAAACGCGACCAAAATTTCACAGTCGATTTCAAGTTTTTTAGGAAAGTAGCAGATTTCTCAAGTATGCATCCGAAAATTTTTAAAAAAAAATAGTTATAACTCAATTCATCTGTTTAAAACATACAGTTGCAACTTCTTAGTCTTGCTACTGTATGATTCATTGATGGGAAATAAATTATTCACTGAAGCAGAAGAAAAAATGAAAAATATATATGACTAGAGTTTAGCTGTTTAGGATCAATACATGCTTTAAGAGAGCAAAAAATGGTTATGGGTGACTTTTTACGCAAAGCCGAATGTTTGGAATACAATCCATGATCATCACCCCAAGCACAGTAAGAATAGCAGCACCAAAACCACACTACGAGTTTTGTTATCTGGAGGTGCTATAATATGCGGAGAAGATGACTAGAAAAACTGCAAAATCAAAAAATTTGCCGAAAATGAAAAAAGTTTCAAATTGTTCGTACATTTTTTCAAGTTTTTAATTCCAAAAAGGCCCTAAAAAACTCAAAAACTAACTTTACTCAACTACAATGGCTTGAATTAGTCTATTTTAAGCTTATATGCTATTGAAAATGCCTATTGAAAGCCTGCTGTTTGCTTTAATTGCTCGAACTTAGACAAAAAAATTATAAATTTCAAACCGGTTTTTCTCGATACTGGGAAAATTTTTGGAACTTCTAAAATGTTTTTTTTTTCGAATATTTATCTATATATACTTATTCCGCTTTCCGCTCCTTCCATTATATCAGCGTTTTCTTCTCCGACATGTCTGCTTGGTTTGTTTTCCATTAGAGCTACCCAACAAACTCTAGCTCCTCCGTACTACAAAAAGTCGTGTGAAGCTTTTCGTGCGGTGTGCTATTTGAAATTTTGATGATGCTATTGATACTTTGCTGACGGGTTATTTTTCAAGGAGTGTTGCAAAGCAAATGTAAGCGAGAGTATAAATGCATATATTGGCGTAAGAGAATAAAATGAATGCAAAAAAAAACAAGCGAATAAGATCAGTTGGCCGAGTGGTCTAGAGCAACCCATAGAAACTAAGGAGGCCGGTTTGGCAGGGGTTGGATCTCCCCATACTCCAACCTCTCAATATGTAAATCCGAGGGGATATATCCCCACTGCAGCGTTTTTAACCGTTTTTTTTTGCTCTATTTCGGATATGCTCTATTTGATTAAGGCTGACCGTCAAAACGAGCACCTTGTCTCAAAGACAAATGCTGGCGATTTGAAGCTTGCTTTGATTTATTCAGACGTTTATGTTACCAAAAAAAAGTATGTTTAAAAATGTTACATTAAGGATTTGCAGAGTTACTTTTCCGAGAAAAGGCTCGTTAATTCATTTACCACTTTACTCTCGTCGACTATACTTTTTCACAGGGACTTTCACATGACGTCACCAGTCACTCTTAATCCGGATCTTGGACGCGGAAACAAAGACCAATTATAGTTTAGAACTGAGGACTAGTGATCTTGATGATAGCACGGTGACATCTACAGTGAAGTTGACAGAGACGAACGTCGCCGAGTACCCGCCTTCTTCGTGTGCCAAAAGCGCAGTTCGGGTTTCTATTCAGGAAATTGTCCTACCGACTACATTTTGAAAGACCCGTTGAGTTGTAAAACGAATGACGTAGGAGAATCTTTTACATTTGCTATTCTCACCGCGCCGGGTACCCTAGATGTGACGTAAGCACATCAACAGGGTTTGCTTCTTTGATCAGCATCGTGAGTGCCGTTGTTCAGTCTCGTGAATACACTTGTTCAGACTCTTGAGCATAATTGATTCTACTTGTGATTGAAGCTGTTGGGACTCGAGAGTGCAGTTGTTCAGACTTGTGAGAGCAACATTTCCGGCGCCGAAAATTTTCAAAATTGTCAAAAACTGTAAGACTCGTCTAGTTTTAATAAACCATTCTTTGCATTTAAAAAACAAACAAAATGTTAAGGTGTTTTTGTGTATCCCAAAGCAAGGTCATAATAGTAATTTTATTCTAGATACCACATAATTTTGGTAAATTTGAACGCATTAAAATTTCATACAATCGGAACATCTAAAAGGTACTAGATCATTTTGTTCCGATAATATTTTTACTCAAACCCTCGAACCCTAAATTTTTTAACAAATTTTCGCTAATTATAGCTTTTAGATCGTAGATATTACCCAAAAAGAAGAAAATTGTTCAGAACTATGGCATAAATTACCCCTTTTTGTTCTTAATCCGATTCCAAAATAAAGTTTTTTCCGCCAAGTTGTTGAAACTCAACAAAAATACTGATTCCCCACTTTGTTGGCTAACTAAAATCAAAGTTGCCATCTCCGACGCATCTTTTTAGTTCGCGTTTTGACTTTGTGTTTTTGCAGTAATATTAAGTGGTCAAGTACGGTGATATCATATAGGTTAAGTTGAGTTTGTTCATCCTCAGATTACCTCCGCGTGGTTGTTGGAGTTCAGTCGACCTAGTTAGTTCCGATCCCTAGTAAAAATACCGTCGCGAAATGAAGACTCTAAGCATCTGTTGTTCATACTCGGAGCCAGTTCTCTAAATCACGCGCTTCGAAAATTATTCACATTATCTTAAGGTGTGTGAGAAAGACTTGTTTTGCCAAAACCGATTTGAGCTTTAGTTTAACGCCAGGGATAACAATAACCGTAGTTTGAGTATTGGCCAACTTGAGAGGCTTCTTCTGAGATACAAGGAAAACATAACCAGTATTGTATAATGGCGCCGCAATGGTACTGAGAATATAGAAAAAGAATTGAATAAAAGGTTCCAAACCACCGCGCATCAACCAACCAGATGTTAATTTGAATGCTGGTGACTTAGTTTGGGTCATGGAACCTGAGGGTCCACGTGGACATTTTCCACTCGCACTTATCGTTTATCTGCAATACGGCAAGGAGGAAGGCACGTGATTCGCCTACATCAAGAGCATTACGAGCAAACCGACCTGCTCGACCGTAAAATCGCTCCAGTTCTTCCTTGTTTGCGAGCAGAGGATGTTGCAGCGCAAATGTAATCAAAAGTATAAATACTTATAATGACGTAAAAGAATAAAATGAACAAAATAAAGACACGCGCATAAGACCAGTTGTCCGAGTGGTCTAGAACAACACTTGAAACTAAGGAGGGCGGTTTGGCGGGGGTTGAATCGATCCCCCTATACTTCGACCTTTATACATGTAAACCCGAGGGTTCATAAACCCACTTCAGCTTTTTTAACTGTTTTTTTTCTCTTTTTTGGTTCAGCCTTGATTAGGGCTGACCGTCAAAAAGAGCACCTTGTCTCAAGGACAAATACTGGCCATTTGACAGCTTGCTTTGATTTATTCAGACGTTTATGTTACCAAAAAAAAGTATGTTTAAAAATGTTACATTAAGGATTTGCAGAATTACTTTGCCGAGAAAAGGCTCGTTAATTCATTTACCACTTTACTCTCGTCGATTATTGTTTTTAACAGGGACGTTCACATGACGTACAGTCACCAGTCACTCTTAATCCGGATCTTGGACACGGAAACAAAGACCAATTATAGTTTAGAACTGAGGACTAATGATCTTGATAGCACGGTGACATCTACAGTGAAGTTGACAGAGACGAACGTCGCCGAGTACCCGCCTTCTTCGTGTGCCAAAATCGCAGTTCGGGTTTCTATTCAGGAAATTGTCCTACCGACTACATTTTGAAAGACCCGTTGAGTTGTAAAACGAATGACGTAGGAGAATCTTTTACATTTGCTATTCTCACCGCGCCGGGTACCCTAGATGTGACGTAAGCTCATCAACAGGGTTTGCTTCTTTGATCAGCATCGTGAGTGCCGTTGTTCAGTCTCGTGAATACACTTGTTCAGACTCTTGAGCATAATTGATTCTACTTGTGATTGAAGCTGTTGGGACTCGAGAGTGCAGTTGTTCAGACTTGTGAGAGCAACATTTCCGGCGCCGAAAATTTTCAAAATTGTCAAAAACTGTAAGACTCGTCTAGTTTTAATAAACCATTCTTTGCATTTAAAAAACAAACAAAATGTTAAGGTGTTTTTGTGTATCCCAAAGCAAGGTCATAATAGTAATTTTATTCTAGATACCACATAATTTTGGTAAATTTGAACGCATTAAAATTTCATACAATCGGAACATCTAAAAGGTACTAGATCATTTTGTTCCGATAATATTTTTACTCAAACCCTCGAACCCTAAATTTTTTAACAAATTTTCGCTAATTATAGCTTTTAGATCGTAAATATCACCCAAAAAGAAGAAAATTCTTCAGAACTATGACAAAAATTACCCCTTTTTTGTTCTTAATCCGATTCCAATATAAAGTTTTTTCCGCCAAGTTGTTAAAACTCAACAAAAATAACTGATTCCCCACTTTGTTGGTTAACTAAAATCAAAGTTGCCATCTCCGACGCATCTTTTTAGTTCGCGTTTTGACTTTGTGTTTTTTTTGCAGTTATATTAAGTGGTCAAGTACGGTGATATCATATAGGTTAAGTTGAGTTTGTTCATCCTCAGGTTACCTCCGCGTGGTTGTTGGACTTCAGTCGACCTAGTTAGTTCCGATCCCTAGTGAAAATACCGTCGCGAATAAAGACTCTAAGCATCTGTTGTTCATACTCGGACCCAGTTCTCTAAATCACGCGCTTCGAAAATTATTCACATTATCTTAAGGTGTGTGAGAAAGACTTGTTTCGCCAAAACCGATTTGAGCTTTAGTTTAACGCCAGGGATAACAATAACCGTAGTTTGAGTATTGGCCAACTTGAGAGGCTTCTTCTGAGATACAAGGAAAACATAACCAGTATTGTATAATGTCGCCGCAATGGTACTGAGAATATAGAAAAAGCATTGAATAAAAGGTTCCAAACCACCGCGCATCAACCAACCAGATGTTAATTTGAATGGTGGTGACTTAGTTTGGGTCATGGAACCCGAGGGTCCACGTGGACATTATCCACTCGCACTTATCGTTTATCTGCAATACGGCAAGGAGGAATGCACGTGATTCGCCTACATCAAGAGCATTACGAGCAAACCGACCTGCCCGACCGTAAAATCGCTCCAGTTCTTCCTTGTTTGCGAGCAGAGGATGTTGCAGCGCAAATGTAATCATAAGGTATAATTACTTATAATGACGTAAAAGAATAAAATGAACCAAATAAAGACACGCGCATAAGACCAGTTGTCCGAGTGGTCTAGAACAACACTTGAAACTAAGGAGGGCGGTTTGGCGGGGGTTGAATCGATCCCCCTATACTTCGACCTTTATACATGTAAATCCGAGGGTTCATAAACCCACTTCAGCTTTTTTAACTGTTTTTTTCTCTTTTTTGGTTCAGCCTTGATTAAGGCTGACCGTCAAAAAGAGCACCTTGTCTCAAGGACAAATACTGGCCATTTGACAGCTTGCTTTGAGTTATTTAGACGTTTATGCCCAATGTTATGGATGATAAATAATGTTTAAAAATGTTACATAATGGATTTGCGGAGTTTTTTAGCCGAGAAAAAGCTCGTCAATGCAATTGTTTGAAATCCGATAATTTTTTTTATTTGTGGCAATTATCGCTCACAAGGATCGAATTTCAAACATTCGGTTTTGCTCAAAAAAAACAAATTTCTATCCAGGGTTTTTTTTGTTGCACCCTCAGAAACAAATTTCTAACCATATGTTTTCTGCAGAAGGTGTATCTTCTACTTTAACGAAACTGTCATTTCTCAGAGCTTTGTAAACAAGCTACATGAGGGAGCAAAAAATTGTTTTTACTTTTTTGTTTTGACGGTAAGGAAAGTCAAAACAATGCAGTTTTGACTTTCCTTTCTGATGTTGTTGGCCAACCTGAACAGTTAGCCGGTCAAATATACATGCTGTGTCCACTGCATAGTTGTTCCGAATTTGGCTGTTTCGGAGTGTGAGAGATATCATTGGAGTTTGGGAGTCCACTAGTTATCGTCGTTGTCCAGGAAATTACTTTAAAAAGTTTTACTTCATTAGCATGTATTACCTATTATCTATTGTCTTAATTGCGACCGGCCCAATTTGGAGTAACTAGGCCATTGTGAAGATACTTTTGATTGTGCGTTTTGCTATCGTAAGCCTTGGCAAATTTTGGTTGACAGGCAGGGGCGGATTTAGGGGGGGGCGGACGCCCCCCCCCCTCAGGGATTCGACCCCCTGCCGACCCAAAGGGTCCCCCCTTTGATACTTTTTCAGAGATCCTTTTTTGGCCGACCGACCCTAAAATTTTTCTAAAGGCGCCTTTGGCGCCAATATATACTAACTTTGAGGGGGAGCGCGCGCCAAAAAAAACGCGATTTTTTTGTCAAAATTTTTCAAAAATTGCCCAAAAACGGCTTTTTTGACAGTTTTTTCAAAAAAATTTGCCTGCGGCGCAGAAAATTTAGCCAAAGTAGGGGCAAAACAGTGCTTTGGGAGAGCTCGAAAAATCATTTTGGTCGACCCAAAAAAAAAAAAGGTCGTCAAAATTTTGGAAAATTTTTTGAAAATCCGCCCCCCCCCTCGAGAAAATCCTAGATCCGCCCCTGTTGACAGGCGTCGATGTTGGATTGCAAATAATTTTGTGATATTCATGACGTTGTCTTTGTTGACCACCTAGCCGAAACTATTTGCACAAACTGCATTTGTGAATACGACAGCATTTGAATTTCAAAAAAATGTCAATTGTAAGGTTCTACATTTTATCCCGTTACGCTTTATCACCATGTCTTATAACAACATGTCAAGGAACTCTTTGGCAATTTCACTCCATGACTATTTAACTTTTTTGTTTATAATTCTTCACACCAAAATTAATCTTCAAAATAGGGAGCACTTAAAATCCCTAATTATTGCATACCGAAGTAATTAATCTGAAACTAAAGTCATAAACTCTCAAAATTTAAGTTTCCTAATCAGTTTTAAAAACTTGGTAATTGTAAGTAGTATCCTTTGCATATTATTTCGTTGAAAAGTAAGCCAATATGCTTTGAATTTGGCCAGGAGTTTGGGTCCAAGCAAAATCAATACAAGAAGGGAGTCTGCACGCTACTATTAATTTACAAGTGTCGCGTGTCGCGCAACACCAGTAACAGAAACTCAAATACACAAGTGGCAAGCACATTCATAAAATTTCGATGCCATAAAGACCGTGAGACACTTTGGGTTTGCGAAACAGTGACAACAACTGTTACGACATCTGTTTTGCCAATTTATGACATTTTAACCAGTCATGTTGCCATGCCTGATAAGAAAATCCTGGTAATATTGTTGGATTGATCCCCCAAAACATTAATGAAAACTTGTCTACTCTGTCCCGGAAACCCATAGTCTTGAAATCTTCGATTGTCAATACTGTGATTGTTTCGATAGTGAAAAGTGGCTCAAAAGGAATATAATTTTTGGCGGCCTTGAAAAAAGAAAAGATCTGGAAAATTCATCATCCTGGGTAGCAGAGGAGAACCTAAAAATAACGCTCAAAATACTTTGTCAATCATATCCAATTTAACATTACTTATTTTGCCTCCGGTTGTATCTATCTCTTTCTTTCGAACAACACAGAAAAATCTATGATCGCTTCTTAGATGCGCTGAAGAAATTCAAGCGGTTTTTGAACAAGCCTCTTTTCAGCCATTCGGAAAGAACTTCCCTAATACGCTTGTCTAAAGTTTTCATGAGAAGTTACCTGAATTTAGTCAAAAACTTCTTATCAGAGCAATCATGAACTGACACTTTCGTGAGAAAAAATTCCTACTTCGGCAGTAAAAACGCACAGACATTGAAAAAATGTGTGATATTAAAAAAAAACATTCAAGATTTTGTGACCGAACAGGTTTGAAACCCGAAAAAAGAGAACAAATCTTGTACATCGGAAGACTTAACTTTAAGCAAGTAAAACTATTTTTTGGAAATTTTTATCTTCCTCTCGGAAACCAAAAATTTCAAATATTCAAAAATTTTCTGCAAAAAATTTTGAAAAAAAATTTTGTTTATGTTTTTTTTTTAGTTTTTCTGGTGATTTTTCTTCAAAAATTTTTGTCCGATTTGCCTATATTACTATGAATGTCTAAATCGCCTAAATCATGTTTTTACGTCAGATCCTTTTATTACACCAAGCAGAAAAAACTACCTTGCTTTGGAAAAAAAACTTTCTAAACCGTAGTTTTCTAAAGACTATGGTTGGAACATTCTCTGCAACTTGCACAGTAACCGGCTATCTTTGTTAAATATTGCATTTTGTGCCAAAACTCCAAAAAAAACTGAACAAATCGACCGGGCTTAAGGCTCACGAATAAAAAAATTACGCCAGTTTTGGCCAAAGTAATTTTAATTAGTTAGAGGGCCTTTGAACTTCATTCAGAGTTAACTCACTTTTTGTTTAAATCATAATAATTAGAAAGATTGACAAAGTCTTTTCTGCGCAAACCTTACGCGCATTTAGTAAATCACATCTTTTTTGCTTTAAATGGCAAAAATTTGTGTCGCCTTATTCTTTGATAATAGTTTTTTTTTCTGTTTTGGATTATTAGGGCTTTAATTAGAGAAATAGCCTTAATTTATAGTAGTTTTGGGTCGCTTAGGCATTGAATTATTTTTGAGTTAACTTGTATGATGTTAGGTTGCTTGGAGTTACAAAGGTGCGAACCGTCAATTTGGTGTAGCCAGTGAAAATAAAAATGCGATGTTTGTCGAGCTTGGAATTTTTTCCAATAAAGCTCATTGAATGAAGTGGTCTAGCTGACTAGCTTACAAACTGGCACAATGTCATGACTTGTTTTTTTTTAAAATCAGAATGTTGTTTTTTTATATCAGAATTCTACATGGTTTATTGATTAAAGTAAATTAGGTATGAAAACTCTATTCAAACTTCTTACCAGAACTGCTTTTATATGGAGAGTTTGCAGTGACAGTAGAAGCCATTGGAAGTCAGTGAAAGAAAAAAATTACAGCAAGCAAATAGCCTGATAAACCAATATTAAATAAGGTTAACTTGAGTTTTCTATTTGAAAAATGAACAAAAAAACTAGAGGTAATTCAAGGAAAGTAACTTCAGTTATAAAACTTCACTAAAATCAACTCTTTTGTCAATGCTAATTGCGTATTGCTTTGAAACTCGCTTGATATTTAGCGTAATCGAAACACCAATCACGACACAAACATGATTTATAAAAACTAATAAGTCTATTTAGGACTGTTATTGCAGTAAAACCTTCGCTGTTTGCTTAGCACGGTGACGGTAAGGACTTTTTGGGGGGATTAAAAGAGAAATGGGTCAAAATAAGCAGTTGTGAACTGTTTGTGACCTAATGAACCGAATTAGGGGATCTTATTTTTGTCAGGATAAATATTTGTCCCCGCACCCAAATATTGGGAGTTGAGTTGATTGACTTGCCCGAATGGCTTAAAGCGTGCTACAAGTCTAATTCAGTTAATATTATTTTATTGGAAAAGTCGAGCGTTAGTAGGAAACTTACATATCTCTCAAAGTTCTTCATAAAGTTGTCAAGAAATCAATGAAACTTAGCGGTAGTTTTGGAACAAGAAACGGTTTCAAAGAACAGAAAGTCACGTTATCCCGGGTCGAGATCCCGCTCAAAAACCGCTCAAGATATGGGCGGTTTGAGCGGTTTTCCAGTAAGATTTGAGCGGTTTGGGCGGTTTTTTTGGAAAAACCGCTCAAACCGCTCAAATCTTGCTTAAAAAACCGCTCATTTTGAAGCATGATTTTGAGCGTAATTGTCTAAAAAAACCGCTCAAACCGCTCAAATCTTGCTTAAAATTAGGTGAAAAATCTAAGGGATTCAACTAAGAATTCCGAATGTACTACTATGATAGACTGGTGCCTTGAAAATAGCCAGGTCTCTTGAGAATGTGACACCTGAAGTCTCGAATTGTTTGAAAATTATGAGTTCGCCTGTTCTGAAACAGGTCCAAATTTTCGGATCTCTAACTATATCCCCCCTCGGGTACCTAGCAACGAATATCCCCCTATAAAAAAATGTATCAACAGTTAAGCATATCAGAATTTTAACCCTAGTAACGAATATCCTCCCTTTTTGCAAAAGGGGGAATATAGTTAAAGAGATCTATATTCTCAAGCTAATTATGTTTCACCACTTCAAACATTGATTTACACCGCTTCACCATTTATGTCACCATCTCCAGCTGAAAATTTTGAAAAAAAAGCCCAATTGAATTTTGATAACAAATAAGTTAAAAAACTATATGCAATTTATCTGATTATTTTTTTGGACTGGAATACTTTGCCTCACCTTCAAGCAACGAGCACGGATCATGGTGGGTGTGATACCGGATAGAACCTCGTAGGTTTAATAATGAAAACGATGTCGGTTTCAAAGAGTTTAATTTAATATCGAAACCATCTTTTCTCTATAGCCTGAGTTCTGTGGCTAACTGTGCGCTGATGCTACAGTAGAGAGAACTGAGTCTCTTATTTTGAACAAAGGTCACACACGTTTGACCTTGACAGAAATAATAACAATATCATAGTTATAGATAACAATATGAACATGATATCAAGGCTACGGTACTATTACTGCAATTGCAGTTGCAGTTGCTGTACCACATTCCCCGGTCGACAATTAATTTTTATAATATGTTATAAAACTTAATAATATATATGAGTTTTAGTACTCAGTTTAATAAGTTTGGGATCAAAAGTTTCTATTGATTGAAATTTTTTCATCTTCCGTCTTTCTCATCATGTTCTTCGCCAAATTGGAGTGGAACCCGCCACTCCGCATTCCAGGACCGATTGATGTCCTATGCTTCGCTCCCGAGTTTTCTTCTGAATAAATGCTTTTCCAGGAGGCCAAATTTCGATTCCCCTGAATTTTTCGTGTCGGGTTTAAATGTTGCCAATTTGATATGATATGCTTCTAACACGGCCTTGTTGAGATCCATGATGTCGTCTTGCGAGAAGATAAGCTTTACCGAATTTTTGATCGGGTCGCCGTATCTGCTAGGACCTTTCGTTGCTTTCCTACTCCGTCGCACGGACGTTTCTCCCTCCCCCGACTCGTCTGAAAATCCGGGCGGATTAATATAATCAATGTCGTCCACCGTAGTGTCTCTGGATGTTAGTATTTCTTCCGCCGCTCGCTGCACTCCCCTTTCTAGCACTTGAGAGGCCCCCTGAGTCGATTGCTTCTTATCTTTGTTTCCCCCATTCCACTTTATTTTCATTGACTTAGTTAGGGGTCCCGCATTGTTGGGTTTGACTCTTTTTACCGCAAGGTTCAAACCCCCGCCCGCCTCCGTGTCTTTGGACGTGACCACTGTCTGATTATCTTGGAATTTCTTTTTCGCTTCATCTGGGTCCGGCACTTGCTGCTGTGGCAGTAATTCATCTTCTGACCAACATTCCTCGTTTTCTTCCTGGTCCTCGACTTTTCCTTGTGACTTCCTTTGTAGTTTTTTTCGGTTCTTCCCCTGTCGGAGACCGACGCTGAGCCGCTGCGTCTTGCACATTGACCTTAGCTTTGGCAATATCGCTTTTCCGGCAGACTGCCTCCGCAGCTGTTTTAACTATGGACGGTGTTTCTGAGGTCACTTTTCCCCTTAAGGGGTTTGTTAGTGCCTTGCCACTTCTGCGCCCTTCATCCTTTTGTAACAGTATGGTGGACCACTGGTTCTGACTTACAATGTCTTCTGGCTCGTCTTCAATGAACCCGCGCTCCCAAGAATATAACAACCCTTTGCGTAGCTCCGGATCTATGGTGCTTGTTTCATCAACAATGCGCCTGATATCATTGGCAGATGTGTCCCTTCTAGTCTGATTCCACCTGGCATTTGCCTCTAGCAGTTCTTTTAGTGCTCGTGCTCTGACCCGATCCTTTGCTGATTCCACATGTTGTGTGAATAGGGAACTTACGTCTCGGTTGTTCTGACCCTTACGGACAATTTTCAATCCTTCTCTTGATTGGTCAATTCGCCGTTTGAGTTGCGAGGCAGTAAGCGCTGATCTTTCCAGGTGTTCGTTATCTAAACGATCAGAATTTTTTGAAAATTTATCGCTTAGAATTTTATATTCAGTTTTTGGTGGTCGACCAAAATGAGCCTCGAACGGCGAACGTTGTATGGTTTTTTGTTTGCTTCATGTGAGACCTCGAATTATAGTACAAAGACAAAGTTTTATCGACGTCACATTTTCGTCCAATAGCATAAACCCCAATCTTCTCTTGATGGTTTGAATCGTTCGTTCAACCAATCCGCAACCGCGATGGTCCCCTACGGACAAAACTTTTGTACTATGTTGTTTTGTGAAAATCATTTCCGCATTGTTTTACCCTTAAACCCAGAAAATTAGTCTGTTCTTATTGATTCGGGTATTACATGCGTGTCGATGTAAGATGGAAGAAATTTTGTTGACGATTTTCCCCTGTTGATTTTGTTATTTTTACCGAAGGAAATTTCGAATACCTATCTATTGCTACCAGCAAGTATATCTTTTTTCCTTTATGATCTTCCAGAGGGCCTGCATAGTCCAGTTGCACCTCTTGACTTGGCTGCGTTAGCAGCGGAGGAGGTTTGCTAGCGTTTTTTGGTATGATGTAATTAGCACTCTTACCGTAGCGAGTGCAACTTCTACATTCCTCTGCCAAATTGACAATGTCTTTGTGCATGTGTGGCCACCACAGGTACTTCGAAACATCTAGCATCGCTTCCTGACCTGGGTGACCACGGTGAATCCTCTTCAAGACTGCTTGCCGCAACTGCCCTGGGACAGCCAGCCTGTTATCCACCAGAATGCAGTCATCCACCACGGACAGTTGGTGCCAGAGTGGATTCGTATATGGCCCCATGAGTTCGAAACTATGGCGATTGTTTCTCTCAATCACTCGGAGAAGCCTGTTCATCCATGGATCCTCAGCGATTACCTCCGCCAGAAGACTTCTATCGAACAATTTTGTGAGATTATCCAGGCTTTCTCCCTTGTTTCGCTCCGCTTGACGAAATTCGTCTCTCCTAGAGTTGTGATTGGCTCTTCTCCCCCCGATCACACTGACTTCTGGGCTTTCTGACTGGCTTTCCGCAGTTCAATCCACTTCAACTATCGGCATTTTGTATCCTTTGGAGCTAATGTCAACTTCTTCGTCCTGTTGCGCTCAGTTTCGCATCTCTGTTTGTGCTTCTATCTCTAGCATACTTCTCGGGTTATCCTTTCTTTCTGACCCCATGAGGTCCCAGAATGAAATTAGCTTTGTCAAAGCAACTAGAGGACTGGCAGATGACGTTCCTGTCTCTTAAGTAGGTTTGATGTACCTATCCACCGCTCGCCACTCAATCTGTGGTATGTCTGAATCCGAACTGTCAGAGTCCTGTCTACTGCACGCTCCTCTTTTCACCATTCTGGTTCGTGAAAATGTTGTCTCTGTCACCTGTTCTGTCAATTCTTCCCCTTCTTCGTCTTGTCTATTAATGATCTTCACCGCTTTCTTCGATTTTCCTGGCCCCAACTGATTTTTGTCTATTTTCCCTGCTTTTTCCGACTGAATTTTTGAATTGTTTTTGCAACTTTTGATATCTAAATTTATGACTGACTGTTTAGTACGAGAAATCTTGTTTAGTGTGTTTTGTTCGTTTTGTTCTTTTTGAGGACGTGTGTTTTGACCGTTTTCGTTCTGGTCGAGCTTTGTCTGGTTTTGAACAAATTGGTTGCTATAGCAACCGTGGGATGAGTCGTCTTTACAGTGGCTAAAATTGTTTCTAATTCCAGAATGTTCTACAATATTTACATTAACTTTCCGGTCTGTATCATTTAGCCGACTGTTTAAACAGTCGAGTGCCTTATGAAAGTCCTCAATTGATGTAACAACAAATCTTTCATCTATTTCCGATTCAGGCCATGGGTCGCCATTTGGTTCCCTTGAAAGGTAATCAACGATACCCATATCCTTGCCAGGTATATGAATAACCTTAAATTGATAAGGAAATAATCTATCTACCCACCTAGTAAGTCTAGATTGATAAGTTTGTTCGATCTATTTTCCCTCAACGCGGATGTTAAAGCTTTATGGTCTGCTGCTATAACAAATTATTTACCCAATAAGAAAAGTTTAAACCGATCAACCGCCCAAACAACTGCAAGCAGTTCGAGCTCGTTTGTGGAGTATTCTTTTCTTGTGTATTTAAATACCGCGAGGCGAATGCTGTCGGTACCCATTCATTCTGCTCTGAATTCTGTTCAAGGGTTGCCCCGAGACCACTATGGCTTGCATCACACTTTACCCGGGTTTCTCTTGAAGGATTGTAATAATAAATCATAGCAATGTTAGCAACCGCCTTTTTAATATCCTCAAATGCTAAAGAATGTTGACTGTCCCATTCGAATTTTTTCACCGGTAATTGAATATTT